GAATTGAATTTTCATTCACATGTACTTCTGAAAACTGAAAATTACTTATTTATGGTATGCAAACTTTGTTTCAAAGAACTGAGACCATCAGTAAGACATACTGACCACCTTCTATGCACAGTACGTCTTTCAAGACATGTCTGTCATGCCATGATCAGTTCTTGGAAAAATATTTCTTTTCCCAGTGTGTGATGTAACACTCGCCAGTGCTTAGAAGCCACTGTGAAATGGTTTCCACTGCTGTTGTCTCAGTTGAAAAATGCTTCAAGGGCTTGCAGAAACTCTGCTCTGTTTTACTTCGGCCTAATTGTGCATTTGACACCAGGGCACAATTTAAAAAAAATCTCATCTCCATTTTCCCTTTCTATTCTCTAGCCCTGACCCTTCTACATTTACAAGGTAGTCCAAGAATCCCAGTTTACAGAAGTTTCAGTGTCCCTAATGCGTGCAACTTTGTTTTCTTCAGATAATTCCTGGAGGAAGAAAAAAATGAATTTAGCTGTTTCCAGACTGACATTAAGGACAGCAACTCAAAACAGCATTCCCATTCTTTACATCCAGCTGCGCTTCTATGGCTTTTTTTTTTTTTTGACTCAAGAGGTTTTTTTTTTTTCCTTCTAACATTTATTTAGTAATCAGTCTTGAACTGCAGAATAATGAACGAAGCCTCCAGTATCTCAGTTTTACATGCCTTAGTCCCCTAGTCCTGGAGACGGTTTAGTGATGAGTGTGGGACTACGCTGCACTAATAATTCTGCACATCTGTGCTACTTTCCATGCAAGGATTGCAAAGTGCTTTAACAACCTCAGCACTCATGAGGCATCATTAGCTCCTTAAATAGGAGCTTCCCTTTCCCTAATCAGACACTGAGGCACAGCACAGGTAAGGGGATGATGAAACTGTAAAGTGGAGTTCGCACTCCTGCTGATTAATTCCATGTTCTGCATTTTCAGTGACTTGGTTCTTGTTCAAATGCACTTTTCCAAACTAGGAATGAAAGCATGCCGAACATCGTTCCACCCTGAATTAAGGGCTGTGGAACTTTGTCAGCACAGGTTCCTTAGTCCATATAGGCCGATATGAGTCAAAACCAAGTTGCATTGAAGGCAAGAGAAAACTGGATAAAACGTAGCAGCCCAACCTGGCTGGAGATGCTTAGAGGAGATAAGGAGAATCTGAAGCTCTGCTGTAGTGCAGTAACCAGGGTGAAATTCAGACAAATAATTACTAAGACTAACTTAAGAAAAGTCACTGAGGCTTAGATGGAATATGAAGTCTTCCATCCATCTGTGTTATGGAGTTTGCCATGACACTTTCTTGTTGCTGGGACTGATGTGAGATTAGTTGTTTGTAAAACAAGAGCTCATCTCAGTCCAGTTGAGAACATTCCAGTGACAAAGGACTGTTAGCAACGTTTCACAAAGGCAAGGAACTCTAAGCTCAAAACATGTATATACTTGGCCTGTCATTAACTAGGGTATTTTGCACAGACAGATCACAT